CAGATCACCACGAGGTCTCCAGCACTCAATCAACAGAGCCACGAGGAATAATGAGCAGCAGTTCAAACACAATCCTGAGGGGCTTTCTGACCTTTTGACTTGGTCTTTATCCAACCCACAGACCTTCTGTAACAAGCACTGCTTAAAGCATTTTAAAGCATAAAGAGCGAAGATGTATCTCCCATCAACAAGAGTTAAAATAAAATTGGAATTAAAACATATAGGGAGAGCGCATTGTTTATGGTTGCCAGTTTATAATTAGCTTGTAAAACCATATCTTAGAAGTTAAGATTGCACAGAATTCCAAAAAGTTCTTAAGTCCAGTCTTAATTTGGAAACCGATTTTTCGCAATGCTTGAGAAGAACTTGTTTTCAAATTAAGGCTGATTTTAAGAACTTTCCACAATTCAGCACAATGCTAAATTTTAGGCCAAAATGGACTTGTGGGCTAAAACTAGCTGTCTTTTTTTGGACTCCTAAACTGACCCTGCCATAAAAATCAATGGGTTTGAATAGTGCTGTGTCGCAGGTGCCCTAATTATTCCACAACGCAGCTGTGCCCTGTGCAGATTCAGTAAATAGAGCACACGCGAATCTTAGTTATCATTGAGTATACATTACTCTGCCACAACTTTGTTTTGCTATTGTAATATTAATGATAATGCTTGCGTTTGATATAGCGCCTGACGTCTCAAAGCGCTTCACAGAATATACTGTAAAATTCATTGACTGTATATTTAGTGGGCAAAACGCGGCTGCCAATTGCGCACAGCAGTGTCTCACAAACAGTCGTGTGGATTGAGTGACCAAATTATCATAAATTTTTTTGAAGGGATTATTACTCCTGGAAGGCGATCCTCCAATTGACTAACGACTGGGTTCCTATTTACTGCTAGGTAGACAGAGGCATGTGAAACAAGGAAACTTGCCTCAGGTTTTGCCCCACAATATAGTTAGTTTGAACACAAGGTCAAACAGAACCCAAAATCTTAGTGGTTGCAGGCTGAAGGAAACATTAGATAGAACAAAAGAAACAATATATTTGGAGGCCCGACACCCAGGCTGCCAATCAGAGCACACATTTCATTGATCAATGACTGGTCCCAGTGACCCTGCAGATCAGAGGTCACTTTTCACTCTCCACTGAGGGGCCCAGTGCCGAGCTGTAAGTGGTAATCTCGCTGAGGTCGATTCCACACTGGCCGAGCGGGAAGGTGAATGTGCTGAAATGATTGAGCTTGATTCCACACAGAACTGCATGTGGTGAACTGTCTGAAGTCACTTCCAGCAGTACAGAGTAGCATGTACTGAACTGGCCAAGCTTGATTTTAAGATATTTGGCAAAAGAACCAGGGACGGAGATGAGATTTTCTTTTACGCAGCGAGTTGTTAGGATCTGGAATGCACTGCCTGAAAGGATGGTGGAAGCAGATTCAGTAATAACTTTCAAAAGAGAATTGGATAGATACTTGAAAAGCAAAAATTTGCAGGGCTATGGAAAAAGACTGGAGGAGTGGGACAAATTGTTTACCTCTTTCAAAGAGCTGGCACAGGCACCATAGGCGTAATGGCCTCCTTTTGTGCTGTAGGAATCTATGATTCCACACAGGACCTGGTATAGAGCTGCATATGGTGAACTGACTAAGCTCAATCATTACTAAAGCAACTCTATCTTTTTTTGATCATGGAGAGGGTTATTTTCATCACTGTCACCATATACATCTAAAGCAATACCCCCTCTGCTGGACCTCGTAATGAGATGAGGCAATTAATACTGTTTTACATTGTAGTTGTAGAGCCCTGAATTTCGGCATGAAAATGGAGTCAGTGCTTTTACATGACCTCCAGATACCATCTGGAACAATGATGTTGGTGTTATTCTGTAAGTATCGCAATGGCATCAAGATGTTCATGCTGAAGCAAACCACTCTATTTTTGGGGGGCTTATCTTTGCTAATGTTACCAAACATTATTAAGGGGAGTCTTCACTTGAGGGCTTACTATGATTCCGATACCCCTGTTTGGCTCGCGGACACCACCAATAGTTTGTGTGTGTGCAAAAGTCTTGAAAAACGTTACGATGATGTTAAGATGTCCCTGTAGGTACAAACACTTGCAGGTCACTTGCTAACTTGGCCCAAATATTTGATATATGTGGAAACCCATTACTGTGTTTAAGAGTATTCAAACCAATCTAAGAGTTCTATGCATTCCACCTACATGTGAAAATTCTGAGATATTTATTGGAACGGAGTGCCCACTCTCTCCCTGGAGGAATGAATCCCAGGGGATTGATCTTCATCCTCACTTCCTTCCATTGTCTTGTCTGTGACCTTCTTAAACCCTACCACCGGTCCGCTCTCTCTGCTCCCTTGCCCCACTTGCAATCTAAATGCCCTCACTCTTTGGAACTCCATTGTGGAGTCCCTTTGCCAAATGCTTCCTTAACCTCCTTCAAGATCTGTCTCAGGACCTTCTTCTTTGACTGCATCTTTGGTCAGGCTCCACCGCCCACCACCCCCACCACGAGCAAGCGTTAACTGTCCACCACCTTGAGACATCCTCCCAATTTGTTGTTGTTGATTCCTGTAACAGTAGAATGGGGAGACTTTCATACTAGTCTTGATTCAAAACATATCCAGTCACGGAGGTGAAATTGCAATATGCTAACCTACTGCATAATAGATAACAATCCTTGCTCTTGATATATAATGTTTAGAACATCTCAAAGCACTTCATACATTTTCTGTTAGGTGTAGTGAGTGAATTTTGTAAGTTAACACGGAAGCTAATTTGCACACTAAAATGACCCACAAACATGAAGTGGTCGATCAACTTTTCTGGTGGATCCTTGGCCAGGACACCAGGAGAAACTCCTTTTTCATTTTCCCTTTTTGAATAGTGCTCTGGGATCTTTAATTGCTCTCAGAACAGGCAGAGGGTACCTGGGTTTAATATTTCATCCAAAGGGCTGCACCTCCAACAATGTAGGGCTTTCCCGGCACTGTTTTTGTTGTGTCAGCCTAGATTGCGAGTTCAGGGACCTGAGATAGGGGCTTGAACCCAGAACCTTCTGACAAGAGGCGAGTGTGCTGCCAACTAAGACAGGCTGACACCTATGACACTATTTGCTAAAAATAAAATTGGTTGTAAATGTTATTTTAAAAATGTTAGATTATAATTTGTCAGGAACTTTGATAAACCAATCTGGGCTAAGGGCAGGAGCGTTGTGGCCTCACACGTTTCATGCTGAGTTGTGCTGCTCACCAAAAGTCGGGTGTCGAGTAGCTCCTGATACCCTTAGTCTCTTTGGGGCTGAGTTGGCTCCAAGATGACGTACGTGTTTGGAAGTAGAATATCATGAACTGAGTCGATAAAGGCAGCAGAACTCAGGCAGGGATGCCTCGGTACCCCCATTTCAATGGAGGTGCAGAGAACACTCCCGTCACAATGTATTTATTGTATCTTGCATAGATTCTGTTGCGATGTCTTTACGTGTTTTGTTGGTAAACATCTGCGTGGTGCACACTGTGATCAATGTTTATTGTGCCAGCCGTAATCGGCAAGAACTGTTTTGGCGCGCATACTTGTATGCACACTTTAGATAGAGTCGGGAACAGGGGTGTTCCCGACTGTATCTAAGAGGGAGCGTCCCAAAAATGTTTGTACATCACAGCGCCTTAGGACATTTTCTGGATGTGGAAGATGCTATACAAATGTAATTGTTGTTGTGGTTGTATTTTATTAATTTGTGCGCACTCCCTGTAAAGGAGGAGGGTGACAGGGAGGGGGTACAAGATCCACCTTGTAACCGTGGCCTGCAAAGGGTGCCAGAGCCCCAAGGCGGGGAAGCCTTGGTCCCTCCACTACAATACGAAATTACATTTGTGAAGCGCCTTTCAGGAGGACTTCCCAAGGCGCTGAACAGTCAGGGATTAGGACCCTAGCGGGGGGTGGAATCAGGAGGGAGGATGGAGGGCAGAGAGGGAAGGTGGCCGAAGGCACGGTCGAAGAGGAGGGTCTTGAGGCGTGCCTTAAAGGAGGGAACGAGGTGAAGGGAATATGGAGTTCCAGAGGGTGGGGGCAGAGAGGCTGTCTAAAGTGGAGTGTGCAAAGGCAGCCCCCGTCACAACGGCCGGGTCTGTCGAGTCCTGTAACGGATAATAATGCGCTGTTCTCTTTGACCGAGCCTTCAGCTCCCCTCTCGACTCTCTTCCCCCTCCTCGCTCCCTCCCTTCCCTCCCCTCACCCTGACCATTTCCCCCTCCTCGCTCCCTCCCTTCCCTCCCCTCACCATTTCCCCCCTCCTCGCTCCCTCCCTTCCCTCCCCTCACCCTGACCATTTCCCCCCTGCTCGGGTCATGACCCAACTGTGCAGCGCCTTGGGACGTCCTCCTGACGTGAAAGGCGCTTTATAAATGGAATCTTGTTGTTGCTGTTGTTGTTGTTACGGGAATCCTTTCTTTGACTTCGGTGTAAATATCTAATTCAGTCAATCAATAAATATTTTTAAAAATTCGGAATCGAGTCGAGGCCTCTGTGGCGCTTTTGGCGGCGGTCAACGGCTTGAGACGTTCTCCTGAAGGTGAAAGGCACCATACAAATATTTGTTGTTGTTGTTGTTGTTGTTGTACTGCAGCGTCAGAGAGGTCCACAGTTAATGATGGAGGGACCACCCTGACCCCAACAAGAGGGGCGCAGGTCTCATGGGGCGGTGGGGACATCAGCCAATGGGATCAAGTGTCCAAGTGGTGAGGATTCAGCCAATAGGAACTCGCATCTCGTGCGGCGTTGACAGTGATGGGAACGACTTAGCCAATGAAAGCTCGTGTCCCCATGCGGCGTTGACAGTGGGCGGGGCGGGGAGGGAACGATTCAGCCAATGAGAGCTCGCGTCTCGTGTTGCAATGGAGGCGGGGAAGACTTTAGCCAATGGAAGCTCGCCTCTCGCGCGGCGGCAGCGGGGAGACTTCAGCCAATGGGCTGTTGTGTCTCATGCGGTGGCGGTGCGCGGCAGCCCAGGCGCGGACTCGGACGGACTGTGGCAGCTGTGTGGGTGGCGATGGCTGGAGAGCGGAGACCCGCGAGGCTGGTGCTGGCCTCGCTGCTCGTGGTGATCGCGCCGCTTCATGTTCTGGGTGAGTGAGAGGGACCCTGTGAGGGGGAGAAGGAGAGGGGAGACCCGGAGCCTCAGAGCCCACTCCTCGCCGCTTGTTTTGTTGTTTGCCGACAACTGGAGCCGCTTCAAAACATGGCGAGGAGCAGCGGCGAGAGGAGCTCATTGTTCACAGCGAGAGCAGGAGAGCGGGGGCCGCCCGGGGGGGGGGAGCGGGGGCCGCCCGGGGGGGGGGGGGAGCGGGGGGCCGCCCGGGGGGGGGGAGCGGGGGCCGCCCGGGGGGGGGGGAGCGGGGGCCGCCCGGGGGGGGGGGCCCGGGGGGGGGAGCGGGGGCCGCCCGGGGGGGGAGCGGGGGGCCGGGGGGGGGAGCGGGGGCCGCCCGGGGGGGGGGGAGAGCGGGGGCCCGGGGGGGGGGGGCGCCCGGGGGGGGAGCGGGGGCGGCCCGGGGGGGGGAGCGGGGGCGGGGGGGGGGGCCGCCCGGGGGGGAGCGGGGGCCGCCGGGGGGGGGGGGAGCGGGGCCGCCCGGGGGGGGGGGAGCGGGGGCCGCCCGGGGGGGCGGGGGGAGAGCGGGGGCCGCCCGGGGGGGGGGGAGCGGGGCCGCCCGGGGGAGCGGGGGCCGGGGGGGGAGCGGGGCCGCCGGGGGGAGGGGGGGGGGGGGGAGAGGGGGGGCGGGGGGGGGGGAGCGGGGGCCGCCGGGGGGGGGGGGGGCGGGGCCGCCCGGGGGGGAGAGCGGGGGGGGGCAGGAGGGAGAGAGAGAAGGGGGTGCGGGGGGAGAGGAAGACCCGGTGAGAGAGAGGGCACAGGGGGCGGTGGGGGAGAGGCTCGGGTTAAGGGAGGAGTGGAGGGGGGAACGCGGTAAGTGAGGGCGCGGGCGGCGGCCCCACCACTCGCTGCCTGGCGGTGGCCCCCGGACTGTTGCTGCCTCTTGGGAGGCTCTTGAGTCAGGAACCTCCCCCCCCCCCACTCCGGCCCCCACTCTGCCTCTCCTCACACACACACACACACACACACACTCCTCCAGCCCCCGACTGTCTCCTCCCCCTCGGCCATCACTCCCCCCCCTCCCCCTCGGCCATCACTCCCCCCCTCCCCCTCGGCCATCACTCCCCCCTCCCCCCGCCATCACCCCCCCCCCCCCCCCCCCCCTCGGCCATCACTCCCCCCCCTCCTCGGCCATCACTCCCCCCCTCCTCCCATCACCCCCCCTCCCCTCGGCCATCACTCCCCCCCCCTCCCCCTCGGCCATCACTCCCCCCCCCCCCCCCCCCCCCCTCCCCTCGGCCATCACTCCCCCCCCCCCCCCCCCCCCCCTCCCCTCGGCCATCACTCCCCCCCTCCCCCTCGGCCATCACTCCCCCCCCTCGGCCATCACTCCCACTCCCCCCTCCCCCCCATCACTCCCACTCCCCCCCACTCCTCGGCCATCACTCCCACCCCCACTCCCCCTCGGCCATCACTCCCACTCCCCCCACTCCCCCTCGGCCATCACTCCCACTCCCCCCCACTCCCCCTCGGCCATCACTCCCACTCCCCCCCACTCCCCCTCGGCCATCACTCCCACTCCCCCCCACTCCCCCTCGGCCATCACTCCCACTCCCCTTTTGCCGTCTCCCTGACGGGATGACCCCGCGGCCCAGGCCAGGCTGAAGCTTCGCCTGTTGGCCGCTGTTGCTCGGGGGGGGGGGAGCGGGCGATGGGCAGTAACAAAGGGCAGTGCGGGGCCCGGGCTTTTGTCTGAGGAATGTGAGGTTAAACAGCCTCACGAAGTGGAACCTTTTATCCACGGAGCCGCGTTCAGGAGAGAGACTTCGTGAAGCTGCAGCTCTGTGCGGAGGACGTTAAATCCAGTTGCCAGTGTAGTGTAAAAAGAACCAAACTGTTGCTTTTCCTGATGCTAAACAGCTCCCAAGGAAGTAGTTTTGCAAGTTTGCAGTCCACCACTGTTTTTTTAGAAAAAAATATAGTGGTAATAGTCCAAAACCTGGAGGCTTTCTTGCAGTTTTCCTGGTTTATAATCCCTCAATTCAACTTGACCCTCAATTCAAACTGTCTACATTGGTGTTTATGTGATGGTGCAGGCGCAGATTAGCTGCCTCGTTTGTCTACGTAACAGAATTTTATTTTGTAAAATGCTTTTGAGGGGTTTCTCCTATGAAAAGGGTCATATGGAAGTTACTTTAACAGTTACCTACGTAAATTCAATCACTATAAATAAACGTATTTGCAGTTTGGAGGCAAAGTGGAGGCTGGAGCCAGGAGAACAGAGGTCTGACAGAGGCGGATAAGGGAAGGAAGATCAAGTAGGGTGGAATGGTCCACAATGTCAAAAGCAGCAGAGATATCAAAGAGGCATAGGAAGCCCTACGCAGAGAGAGAGAGAGAGAGAGAACATCATTAGTAGCTTTGAGGCTAAGGGCTGTCTCAGTGCTGTGGACAGGATGGAAACCAGGCTGGATGGGTTTGAACGGGGTGAAGGACTTTGGATAGGTAGACAAAATGCAAAATACTATAGATGCTGGAAATCTGAAACAATAACAGAAGTCGCTGGAAACACTCAGCAGGTCGGGCAGCATCTATAGAGAAAGGAAAGTGAGTCACCGGTTCAGGTCCACGACCCTTCGTCAGAACCGGAGCATGTTGGGAGGGAGAGGCTTTTAAGACTAACGGGGAGTGGGGAGGCAGGGCAAGGAAAACGAAGGAGAAAATGGGGTAGAGGGCAGGGGATGATGGGTTAAAGAGGTGTTAATGAAGCAAAACAAGGATGGGGGGGGATTTGCATCAAAACAGAAGGAAACTGTTAATAATGCAAAACAAAGTGGGGGACAATTGCTGCAGACAAGGGGGAGGGGGACGGGGTGAGCTGTTGTGCTCTGAGATTATTGAAATGAGGTAGGGTAAGTTGGAGATGGAGCTTCAGTTAGTGATAGCTGGCAATTGAGTGTAGTGTTTCGAGGGATATTGATATATCTCCATTATAGATAAAAACATTTTTGGTAACCCTGAGTAAATCATTCATGGTGTCAGCCTTTGTTGAAGAACTAGGAGGAGAGAGAGTACTCTTTGATTAGATGCACATCTTTACATTCAGGAAGTGTAGGCCTGGTCGCATGACCCCTTGTGCGGTAGTGCATCTTATGAGACTGAAAGGTTGTTATGGATCAGCACTGGGATTTGACCTAAAGGAGTATGTATTACTTTGAAATGCACAGGACCTTTTCTTTAAATTGAGCAATTAGTGAGAAGCGGTGGTTTAATCCATATCATCAATAAACCGGTAGCAAAGGTGACTAGAATGCTGAAGGCACAATTGCTGAATTGTCATACGCTGCTTTAAGTCCTAGAATAATGCAGCTTACAATTGCTTTGTGCTATTTCAGTTTGTAACCTGTTTTCTCCTGGTATACAAGTAAACATGCCATTGGATAGCAAAGACTTGTAGGATTGATGAGGAAAGCCTTACTGAGCAGTGCCAGAATAGATTACTAGTGACAGTGCAGTTTACGCAAGCTGGATTTAATTCTACATTGTTGGTTGATGTTTAACGTGTTTAGCATTGCTTTTGAATCTGCACTTTCGTAGGGAGACTTTGATGTCAGTATGTACTGAAAGGTCTTGACATCTTATTATAGTGGCTGCTCTTGCAGAATTTTTATTTAAACAAATGATTACTTCCTTCAAAGCACTTTGTAAAATACTAGATATAATTACATCTTTGGCTTGTTGGATGGGGATATTTGAATGTACAATAATGTCTTGAGCGGATGAGTTAGTTTTATCATAAAAGTGTAACTATGAAAGGCTGTTGATTGCTAGTCTTTTTAGCACATGTCTACCCATCCAAAATATGTATTTGAGATGCATAACTGACACATGAGAGATTTGAGCCTGTGTGCAGCATGAATAGTTCAGAGGGGCTTGATTTTTTTTTTACACATGTACCCTGGATTAACCAGTTGTCCTTTGGCAATATACCACACTAACATATGGTTGTGATGAGACTCAATATATCTTGTCAAACTAGAGGAAACAAATGGGTTTGTATTTGGTGAACTGCACAACCCAAGTTTTGTGGGCAGTTGATTCATTTGACTTTTAACAACACACTTCAAAGGTGTCTTTCAATTAAAATAAATATCACAAATGTGCGTTACAGAATGGAATTAATTAGAACTCAAATGACTGTTGTAATGGAGGCAAATCTGAAAGATGATTAGCTGTTGAATGGGGGGATAATTAAATTACTCAAGTATACTTTGTTTGCACATTGTGCCTAGTTGTGTTGTGTCTTATTCTATTTACTATCTGTGCGTGCGAACTCAGCTCTAGTTTAAATGTTGTGCAGGAAAGTCATGGGGAAATTTGTGTAGTTTGTGAGAGGTAAAAGAAGTTGCCAGAATGTAGGAGAAAAGTGTCAAGAAGGATATGGAATAGTCATAATTTGTAAAATGGGTGAAAGGAGTTGAGAAGAGAACTTTTAACCGAGAGGCTGGAATAAAAATATACATATTATATTTATATAAGCGAGAGGGAGTTAAACTACTAGCAGGAAATAAGTAGATTGATATGTGTAGAGAAATAAGTCAGTGTCTGTTTACGTACATCATTTCCTTGGATAGACTTGAGCATCTCCAATGTTTTATCAGAGATGGAAATGAGGCTAATATGGGATATGTTGTTTAAATTTTTTAAGGCAGTTTAGTTTTGAGTGGGTGAGTGGAGAAGGCACGATGATGGTTCTGCTTGTAGAAACAGAGGGTTGGAGAGGGTTTGCATTTGTAGACACTAATGATTGTTTCCAGTTTGCAAATGAACGATTTGATATCAAATTCACTTTTTAAAAATTCTGAATGCCAGCAGAATGTTTTCTGTCTCTAGCCAGTTGTTTGCTTTCTGACTTTGGTTGGGCAACTTCTCCTGCCCATGCTCTTCCCCCCTCTTGACTATTGGTGGGTGAGCCTTCAGCCTGCAACTCTTCCAAAATCCCTTCACCTAGCATCTTCTACCCCTGCCTTTAAATCCCTC